AATTTATACTGCAAGTTTTTTGTGCATCTTACATCAGTAAGGTGCAAATATTGTACTAACTTTAAACTAAAACTTCTTGGAAAACTGCAATAACACACACACATAACAAGAAATAAACACCTTTTTGTTATCCTCTCTAACACACCAGCCATCTCCAACCGAAGTAGGGTGACTCTAAAAATAGAAAACGCATACACCATCATTCATTAAGTTGCTGTCTTGCCAAAAGCCTGCTGACATCACAGTTCAGACAGGCCTCTGAACTGCAGCATTTCCACTCTTCCTTCAGAGTGCAGGCACTGCACTTCCCAAGTATCCAATTAATATAAGTAGAAACTGGATGCAAGTGAAGTAGGAGAGTCCAAAATTATAGAACGACTTGCCTCACCATAAAAAAAAAAATCTACAAAAAACAGTAAATTTTAAAAGAAATTTCACACGATGTCAATTCCCCATTCAAGATCACAAAGTACGCCATAGGCATTCTGCTAATACGGTAATTTCAAGTTACGTATGACCAAAAAACTACAGCAACCCGTCTTTCTAATACGGCACGCCCCATCCAGTTTGTTTACATTCCCTATGAGCACATATATTATGTCTGGAAACTTTCCAAAATTGTAAGTGTTTTAAGGTTAGTGCATATTTTATTTGTACTCTGATAATTATACTTATGTGTACCTGTACCTAAATATACTTACACTGTGCTGGTGTGCAGGTACACATTAAAATCACTAAGAGTGTCCCTCTAGTCTTAACGCCATACATAATAATAATCACTCTTGGGCACATTAACCCTTTGACTGTCGCGGTCGTATATGTACGTCATGGGAGATACCGTGTTTGACGTATCTATACGCATAAATTCTAGCGGCTTCAAATCAAGCGGGAGAGGGCTGGTAGGCCTACACGAGAGAGAATGGGTCTCAGTGGCCGGTGTGCACCCTGTGAAAAAAATCTGGGACTCAGCGGTGCATTGTGGGAACGCCATCTTGGTAGTCCATTTTCACCATGCCTCGCAGTAAGAAGTTCCTCACTCCTCGGCGGATTGGAGGTCTTTTTTTTCCCAAGTGATAGCTCAAACAGTGATGATAGTGTCAGTGAAAGTGAATTCCCTGGTTTGAAGCGGGTGTGACCGAGAAAATTACCCAGGATAACATAATTAGTGATGAAAACCCAGATGACCCACAACCATCCACCTCTGGTGCTGGCCGGCTCGTTCATGTTCACCTGTACCAGGACGAAAGAGGAAACATTTGCCCGTGTACAAGACTCAGATGTGAGCAGTGCAAGTGATAGTGATAGTGATTTCAAGGTTATTGAAAGCACTTCTATTTGTGACAGTGAGGGTGAATATTCCCCAGTGAAGCGGCAGTATATACGACGTCGCATGCGGTCGGGTATGTGCCATATGCTCTTCCAAGAGGAAGGAGTACATCTCGGAGCACATCCCGTGGCCCTACACCACGTCCTGATAGTGAAGATGACGATATTGTTACGATGGGTATAAATGATGTGAGTGAGGCAGCAGGCGGTGGTGGTGATAGTGACGGTGCCATGAGTCATGTGACACCAGCAGCGGGCCACGCTAGTGCCCGCGCTGCTGACTGCACAACTACAACCCGCCTCGGCCGACCCCACACTCTCACAACCACAACCACAACCTGCACAACCACAACGACATTACAATATCCAGAACGCACCAGCTGACCGCATCTGGATTGGCATCAAGATGACGAGTTTGTTCCCAATCCCCATGACTTTGATGGAGGACAAAGTGGAATACGGCCATCATGTACACTTGAGAACAATCCCACTGAACTGGAATGCTTTCAGTTGTTCTTCGATGAACCCCTGATGGACATTATTGTCAGGGAAAGCAATACATACTATGATACACCATGCAAACACTATGCTTTCACCGAGATCACGCCTACACCATGGAAGGACACAACTGTGGCAGAGATGTATCTGTTCTTTGCCACAATAATGCTTATGCCACATGTGTATAAGCATAGTGTCAACACATACTGGCGACAGACCGCCTGATTTCAACCCCTGCTTTCAGTGACATTATACCAGTGAAAGATTTTGTGTTACTGTTACGTATGTTACACTTTTCAGACAAAACCAGGCCTGACAGAAGCGACAGGTTATATAAGATCAGACGTGTGTTTATGTACCTGAAACAAAAGTGCTGTATGTATTTTTATCCCTTCGGGAAGCTTGTTATTGACGAGTCTTTGATTTTGTTCAAAGGAAGACTCTCATTCAAGCAGTATATACCAAGCAAGAGGAAACGCATTGGTATAAAGTTATTTGTTCTGTGTGATTGCAAAACTGGTCTGGTTTTGGATATAATTGTGTACACTGGCGGTAAAACAATGGAAGATACCAGGAAGTTACTGGGTATCTCTGGTGATGTGTTAGAACAATGATGGAGCCATATCTGGTAAGGGGCATATTTTATATACTGACAACGGGTACACAAGCCCTATACTCAGTGATTCTTGCGAGTGAACATGACAGATGTTGTGGCACAGTGCGTAGAAATCGTAAACATATGCCTAGGTTCGAAGCTGGCAGTCGTAGAGGTAAGTGCAGGTGTTTGCTGCCAATGACATCATGGCATTTCGGTGCATGACAAACGTGATGTCACACTGCTGACATCAGTTCACCGACACGAAATGGTAGAGACTGGCAAGCAGAATAGAGAGACCAATGAACCTATTGTAAAACCTGCAGCTGTGATGGATTACAACCTCAATATGCCGCTTAGTGGACAAATGTGACATGCAGATTGGGTTTGCTGACTGTGTTCGCAAGAGTTATAAGTGGTACATAAAACTGTTTTTTCCATCTTCTTGACATTTCCATGCTGAATGCTTATAATATGTATAAGTTGAAGACCAAGAACAAACCCAAATATGGTGAATTTTGTTTGTCAGTCATCAGACAAATAATATTCAAGTACCAAGAAACAACACCTGCAATAGACCAGCGCCCACGAAATTATCAACACATGTCCTCTCGTCTGAGGCCTGTGATCACTACCCCATACCACTGCCTGCTACTACTGCCAAGAAAAATGCTCAGAAGAGGTGTTTTGTCTGTGGACATACCACAAAACGCCCACAAAAACGCAGAGACACTCATTTTATGTGTGAGGAGTGTAAGACACCATTGTGCTTATACCCATGTTTCAAAGAATCCACAAGCTGCAGCACTTCTAATAAAGTGTCCAGTGATTGTACATATGTATATATATTATAAAGAAATCGTAATAAACATTTGTTTACATTGTTTGTGTAAACAAGTTTTAGCAACATTATAATGATACGAGTGTTTTTGCTATAATTGTGTTACATTCAACGAGTGTATATTTGAACATTGCACAATAATTTGGTCTCACAGGCCACAAAAGTTATGTGAAAAAATAAAATAGTGAAAAAAACAAGAAACCATCGAATACAAGTAAATAAAAGTTTACCGGGTGAGCGGCAGTCGCCGCTGTTGCCGCCAGCAGATCAATTTCAGCAAAGTTCAGGACTCTATATCTCGGTAAGTACTGATGGGAAACATTTTTTTTTTGGACTAAAACAATCAGAAAAATAATCTTAACATTTTCATAAGAAAAAATAATTTTTTTTTTTTTTCGAATATTTTGCGACACCAGGAGACACTTCAGGATTGGGCCCTTCGACAGTCAAAGGGTTAAGTTTCTTATTTTACGTTAATATAGACATTTTCATTAATCCATCTATGATATTTTCTTAAATTATATAAGAAACATGTTACATAGCATATAAACATGCTGTGGTGGTGTGGTAGCCGGGGGGAGGGAAAATTATGTTTTCTCTGGTCCAGCGCAAGAGAAAATGTGTGTGAATTGGCGTTGGCTCAGTCACTCCCTTTAACACAACACTTTTGTTTACAATTCTTGGTGTGAATTATTCATTACTTCTTTCTTCGTTTATGATGGCATCTAAGGGTAGTTGTTAGAAACAATTAAACTCGGTGAACATGGTATGTTGATGGTAATACTAATATGGCTCTGGGTCGCATTAAATATTGTGTACCTATGTAGGTAGGTAGGTGCAGCTGTGTAGCCAGGCGGAATACATAACTACATCTGCTGGCTACCTACACCTGACTTCTTACAAATAAATACTACTCGCCTCTCATCCTACATTAAGACTACATATATTTTAAGGTAAATAATGAGTGTACTGTATGTGTATTTTATCTCTCTGGGCTGCTCTAAATATCGTATATTAAGTTTGGGACAGGGAACCAGGGCTACCAACACCTGACTTCCTACAAATAAATACGTACTACTCACCTCTCACCCTACATTAAGACTACAAATATTTTAAGGCAAGTAATGAATGTACTGTGTATGTATTTTACTTTTTACTGTGTTTTTAATGCCTAGTTCTTTTATTAACTTAATATAAGTTAGTGTAAACTTATTGTCTGGCATTTATATACATTTAACCCTTAAACTGTCCAAATGTAGAAATATGTTTTTTCAACATTTGAAAGTATGTAAAACGTGTAAAAAACTTTGATCTATTTTTTTTTCTTATACAGTGGACCCCCGGTTAACGATATTTTTTCATTCCAGAAGTATGTTCAGGTGCCAGTACTGACCGAATTTGTTCCCATAAGGAATATTGTGAAGTAGATTAGTCCATTTCAGACCCCCAAACATACACGTACAAATGCACTTACATAAATACACTTACATAATTGGTCGCATTGGGAGGTGATCGTTAAGCGGGGGTCCACTGTATTTAAAATATGTAAAAAAAATGTAGATCTACTTTTGGAGCACTACGCATGTGAACGTAGATCTGTTTGGACAGTTTAAGGGTTAAAAGTGGAAAAAATGGCGTTCTGCTTTTCGGCAATGTCTGCTTTCCGGCAGTAGCCGGAACACGCCATCTTTTTCTTGACAGGTGTAGCCAAATTTAGTGTAGTCCTCTGAATACTTGCTCTTAACATTCATTCCTGTCATTACCATATACACCTACCATCCGACTTACGACCTGCTCGACATACGACGACTCGACTTACGACCGTGTTTTTTATGCCAAATTTCTGGGAAATAACCAAGTGTTTGTGTTGTACACAGTATTTATCCTAAACCTTACAGTATAAAATACAGTACTAACAGCATAAAAAGTAAAGTAAAACATGAAATACCAAAATAAAACAATAAAATAAAGTCATTACAAAAATGTTATGTTGATATTCAGTAGTAAAAGTTCGACTTACGTCCATTTCAACTTACAACCGGTTTCTCGGAACCGAATTCAGTCGTAAGTCGGATGGTAGGTGTATCTATATCTGTGGACAATACGTATAATGGAATATATTTATTATATTTCAAGTTTGGCATTAATAAAGATGTGAAAAAGAGAAGATAATGATGCACATGCAGTAATAAAACACCACCAGTTTCATAAACAGCATAAACCAGCACAACACAGCACACAGTAGCATAACAACTGACTGACTAGAAATATTTCACACTATTCTATTTTCCTCTCAGCTTCCTTTTATATTACATTTTATAGTAGAAAACCGAATCAGCTTACACCACACCTGTAAAACAGTGGAGGACCAAACATACAACTAATCAGTTCAGCAGCTCAGTGTCTACTGCACTAAACAGCAGAATTATGTGCAGCCGCATGGCAGCTGACAGAAATCAAACAGGAATGTCCAGCGCTCTCACGTGCACACACCCACACACACACAAGACATCACAAACCAACTGCTTCCGCAGTTTGACTGTCACTGCAGCTAACACTGGTGAATCCATTATCCAACCACCCCATTCACCCTGGTCAGTGCATATATCGTTGATCCACGCTTTATTTTTGATAAATTTAAGACTATACATGTATGCACCAATCTTCAGTTTATTACCAGATGTATAGTGAATGTTCTGTGGACTACCAGTTGAGAACCACTGCTCTAGATGGTTGCTGTCTATCAACCTACTACTACCATCTCACATTCATTCATGTAACAGAATGATAGTACAGTGGTACCCTGAGTTTCGAACTTTCTTCATTCCAGAAGGCTGTTCGAGTGCCGTTACTGAATGAATTTGTTCCCATAAGGAATAATGTAAATTAAATTAGTCTATTTCAGACCCCCAAAACTAAACTTACGAAAGCACTTACATAAATACACTTACATAATTGGTCGAGTTGGGAGCAGTTCAAAACTCGGGGTAGCACTGTACTGTCATTGAGCTTACATTTCACACTTGAATGACAATGGCTGTACTTCTAGATGGTTACTGTCTATCAACCTACTACTGCCATCTCACACTCACATGACGGAATGGTAGTACAGCACCTCTGGATAGTTGCTGTCTACTAACATGCTGCTTCAGTTTCACATTTGTATGGCTTGATGGTAGAATCTCTCTTGGGTGGTTACTGTCTTGCCAACATACAGTAGTACCTCAGTACCTGAACAGTTCCCCACTCGAACAATTCGGTATTCAAACGCTTTGTTCGGTAAAAAAAAAAATTGCTCGGTATTGGACCGTTTGCAAGGCACTCGACCAAACAAACATGACCTGCTGCTGAGAAATACGTCAGCGAGTTTAGTGACTATGTAGAGGCTGAAGGTTTTATTCCCCAACAAGTGTTCAGTTATTATGAGACAGGTTTATTTTGGAAAAAAAAAATCCAAACAGAACATATATCACTCAAGTCATTGCCAAGACACAAGCCAATGAAGGACAGACTCTTGTTGTGCGGGAATGCAAGTGGTGATATAAAAGTGAAGCCTTTGTGTGTCTATTACTGATAGACAAGAAGCATTGTGTTTACTTTTTTTTTTTTTTTTTTTTTTTTTAGATTTATGCATGCTAGGCTTGTAAACTGAATGTTAAAATGCTTAAGTGTATTTTTGGGGTCTGAAATGGATTAATCTAATTTACATTATTTCTTATTGGAAAAATTTGTTTGGTAGTCGAACAGCCTTCTGGACTGAATTAAGTTCAAGTACCAAGGTACTACTGTACTATCATGGGCACTCTTAAAATCTGGGCTTATCGTCCCAAGATACAAACTCTTGTGGCATCTACATTCATTTCAATGCAACTCAGCTTTGTTTTCCTGTAACACTTGCTTTTGTGTATAGCCTTCTTTGGTTATTCCCTTCACTATGTTCTTGGTCTTAATCAGTTTTAGGTGCTTCCATTTTATGTCATTTTAATTTTTATGCAGGTTTTTATGCTTCTTGAATCTTGAAAACTAATACACTAACATTCCCTTGGACTGATTCCAGAAAAAAATACAGGAAAATAAGCATAAATGATATCATGAATTACTATGTTTAGCTTTTAAGTTCATGGGAAAGGACAGAAACACCAGCAAACCAGTTAGTGCAAATTTTTGGCAGACTTCTGCTTAATCACTCGTGAGTAAATGTACAGATTATTAAACATGTATTTTTATTACTTTGTGTCATTGGTTTTCATTGGCAGGGAGATTGCTGCATACAAGTGCAAAGATGGAAGGGACACGGCATCCCCATCAAGCAATGCAACCTATGTCGCCAGTGCCATCATGGCAACAACAACAGTACCAGCAGTCAGGGCAACAGTACCAGGAGCCAAGACTGGGGCAACCATATCAACAGCCAAGATTAGGGCAACAGTACCAGCAACCAAGATTTCCACAGAATTATCAACAGCTCGAATTTGAACAACAGCATCATTCAGGACTAGGTCAACAGTACCAGCAATCAGGATTATTATCTCTGCCACAAGAACTTGGATTGGCTCAATTTCAACCTATGGGATTTGGACGCCAGCACCAACAACCAAGGTTAGTGCAACCAAGACCAAGTGAGGAATTTCCTCATATATTTCAACACCTTCAAAAGCAGCAGCAGAGTCAGCATACTTATGATGACAAACAGCTTGGTCATGTAAGCCAACGGGTCAGTATTGAGGATCAACAGCGGTCTATTACCCCTAATCCTGAGCAACAAAAAGAAGCAGAAATAATGTCACTATGGAAAGACTTACAACATACCAGTAAGAAATCTGTGGTCTCAATGCACCCATCACTTGATATACGCCATAATGAAGAAGCAGTGTCCTCAGCTAATTACAGTGCACAGCTGTCACCATATTCTCAGAGTACAATTAAAGATACAGAGCCAACTAAGGGACTTATGTCTCAAGAGAGACCAGTAGATATGGGTATTAATATTCCCATTGGTCTGCACTGTATTCCTCCTGTCAGCCGATCTTCCATTGATGATGTAAATCTAAGCAACATGGCTCCACTTGAACTTTCTGTTAATAGACATGTTGCACCTCTTCCCACTTCAAGTGGCCTAATAGTCAAACCATTAAGTCTCAAGACATCTCATTCTTTAAGCAGTTCTCATGACTTTACACGTTGTGACTTCTCAGATATTGCTAATTTAAGTAGCGGCATGAATGATCCACCAGAAGGACAGCCTGGAAATCCACAACCTGATGATTACAGCAGATCAGCAGGTCATCTAGACCCTGCTTTGCATCGTGATTCAAGACCACTAATTCGTGAGAAGAATGCTGAATTACACCATGAGTGCAACCCACCCCCTGGCCAGTTAGAAACTGCTGCATGTGATGACTCAAATATGTCAGACAATCAGCTAGTTTCTGCTGTTCCTGACGATTCCAACCCTTCTGACAGTCAGCTAGACTCCGCTGTTCCTGATGATTCAAATCTTTCTGATGATCAGCTTGATACTGCTGCCCGTGATTATTCCAATCCATCAGTGGATCAGCTTGACTCTATTGTTCGTGATGATTCTAACCAATCAGTTGATCCCCTAGACTCCGTTTCCCGGGATGATTCCAGTTCTCGAGTTCATTCACTGAAAACTGAGCGTGAGGATTGCAAGCCACCAATTGTGCCACTAGACATTGTTGTTCGTAATGAATGCAGCTCGTCAGTTGATCCATTGCAATCTGTTCATGATGATTCAAACCCATTAGTTGATCCATTAGACTCAGTTGTTCGTGATGATTCCAATCCATCAGTTGATCAGCTAGAATCAACTTTATGCAGTGATACAAGTTACCCAGTTGGCTCTTCAAAGGGGCATTCAAGGTGTGTATCCATGGAAGATTCTGGCCAATCAGATGCACAAGGGTCTGTATTGCCTAGTGGAACTAATGTACCACATAAACAGACAATTGTATCAAGTGGAGGTTCCAGTTCATCAAATGCAAAATTAGATGCAGCTTTACTAGACAATTCAGGTTCTGCCATTAACCTATCAAAGAGTCGATCACGGCCAGAATTTTTGAACAGCTCGGCAGGCCGACTAGAAAGTGATGGTCATGATGGCTCATACTCTTCAGAAAGACCTCTGAAAGGTGGCACACTTAATGCATTGAGGGATGCTTCCATCTCTTCAGGCTGTCAAGAGTCTCCAATTATAAATTATTCCAGCTATTCACGCAGTCGACTGAGAGAGGGTTCTCCCCAGTCAGACCCTCAGACAAGGGCTGAAATGCAAGACAATTCCAATTCCTCAGATAATCTGCCTAAAAACTCTGTGAAAGATAATTCTGAATCCATCTCTGATAATGCAGTAAAGACTTCAGTATATGAGGGTTCCAAAGCTAGCTCATTAGATAAGCAACACAGAACTTTGGAACAAGAGAATTCTAAATCTGAGGTGTTGGATACTGCACCTAGAACTTCAAGAAAACAGGGCTCCAGCCAGTCAGGTATTCAGATGAGTGCAACTGAAGATTCAAACTTATCAGATGATCAACATAAAACTGAACAGTTTCACACTGCAAAGTCACCTGACAGTCAGATAGTCTCTCCATCTCATGATGATTCACATTCATTAGATTCTCAGGCAAGACGTGCATTACCAGATGATTCCAATTCGTCAGATAAGCAAGAAGCTTTGCATGCCGTTTCCAGTTCGTCAAATGATCAGTCAGAAAATACATTACTTAATTCCAACCTGCCAGATGTTCAAACTAATAGTTCTAGCTCTCCAGTTGAAACGCCAGAAAACGAGACAAGACCTAAATCTCCTGGTAAGCCTAGGTATAGGAAAGACCTGCCACAAAAAGTGCCAGACACTTCCTTGTCCAACTATATGAGCCCATCACATGATTCATCAAGCAATGAGCCATCTTCATTTGATGAGAAAGACACTGACAAACATGGGCCTAAAATCACCAAAGGGCTTAAGCCTGCTATAAGTGTAAGGCAGGTATTAGATGATTCAGCACATTCCCCTCTTGAAACTGAAAAAGCAAAAAATATTAATACCACTGCTAATTTGGCAGTTAATGCTGATGGTGGTTTCCATTTTGTAGAGATTCAGCATAGACCAACAAAGGCTAGTAGAAAAATGATTGTTGATCCTTTGCCAGAGGACCCATTTAACAACCTTCAATCCAAGTCACCCCGTCGTTCAGTAACCCCAGAGGATATTGCAGTTGAGGATGATGCTGATGTACAAAGGTTACCATCCAACAAAAAGCATGTCCAAGAAATCTCTGCTAATAAAAGTATTGATTCTGTAACTGTCAGTAGTAGTGATGTTCCTAATAATGCTCCTAATAGAAACAGTGGTATGCCCGAGGTTCTTCCAAGCCAGGATAATGATGCTGAAGAACTTTTAGTAGAAGAGGATGGCCTTTTGGATGATGATGATACTACACACTTTTTCGAGGAAAACCATGTTTATGTTGGTGAAGAACATGTAGAAGCAACATGTCATGTGTGTGAATCCAATGTTAAGTGTGCTGATTTTAAGTCTCATCTTTTCTTCGGTCACCTCCAGTGTGCATATTGCAATAGAAGATTGGTGGGATGTGACATGCTTCAAGATTTAGAGGATCCTAAAAAAGCTGTCTGCAAGAAAAGTGCTTCAGGAAGGCATAGCTTTAAAAATTGGACACTTGATCCCATTGAATTTCTGGCATATTATATAAGAAAGGAACTGGTGATAAAAAAGTTTTGTGCAGGCTTAAGTGGTCCACCATCAGCTGCAGAAATTGTTGAGGAAATAGAATCTTACATGGCTAAGTTAGCTTCACTTGAGGACTATGCCCCATGGAAAGCAGCTATTATGAAATGTCATAAATACACCACTGACAGAAAATCAGGCAAATCAACAACTAAACAACCAATCAACACCACTACCAAACCGACTGTAATTCGAACATCTGCTACAACCGGACGCTCTTCAGAAGGGTCAGCAGGACGCCCCAGTAGCACCTACCTACCAACTGAAAAAACTAATTATACACCTGTAAGGAGCACAAATCTATCAGTAAATTTGCCATCACCTGCTTCAGAATCTGGAAGTGGCCAGGATTATGAGTCAGAGAAATCAAAGAGGTCTGGAACTGTCCTGCTGCATAGTCTTAGTGCTGGTCTTAAGAAAACAGGGAGATACGAAACACCTTCTCCAAAGAAACAAACAAAACCTCTTAAGATTTGTAGCTTGAAAAATATTGTTGTACAAGCCCCAATAAATGGCAACTATTTGGTGGTACATTTCCCAAGTCAACCATGTCCGGAAAACTGTCCAAATTGTTACTGTCAGTTTGATCCCTCTGCTGTTACAGTAAACTGTGTCACCTCTGTCATAACAAACAAATGTGAAAATTGTGATTTAACTATCTTTGTTCTTCAAGACCCACCTGACGGATCTGTGCAAAATGTTAAGTTTCGAAATAAAAGGAAAGCAGCATACAAATTCACCGGTCCAGAATCAAAGAAGAAACGGATGCAGTAGGCATACCCTGTACAGAATACAGTAATACAATTTTTGGATCAGTGTGGATGACATTAGACATGTAGTTAGTCTATAGTCTCGCCACATTTTTAATGTCTTACATAAAAGGACAAAACCTATTTGAAAATGTATATTAACTATGTTCATTGCTGGTGGAGTTATTATTCCTCAGTTCATAATGTTATGCAATGCATGTAAATAAAATAGAACAGCATACCTGAAGTGCAGTCAATGTTATATTTGACAGACTTTTCACATAAAATTTTAAATGCTTTATGATTATTTTCAGAATTATAGGTTTGTAGCCTCTGATTGGATATGTCCACCCACTTTAGTTATTTACCTTTGTGTATTTTCAAAATCTGAATCACAGATTAAGGACAGTTATGTTCCCAAGGACATTGACAACAGTTGAAGGAATTTTAAATTAATTGTGCCGTTTATTTAAATAATGCCAGTAACCTTGTGTAGATAGAACATTAACTTATATGGTATATATATCTATATATATATTATATATATATATATATATATATATATATATATATATATATATATATATATATATATATATATATATATATATAGAATATAAAAATATGTATATGCATATATATACATTTTTTCCTTTAAGACTAGTTGGGTCACCTGTTGAAGCACTACCATGAAAAAAGTAAACAGGAGGGCCCTTTCTCCCAAAGTTTATTCTGTCACACTCTTAAACCTCACATTGTCCATGCACGGAGCACTTATCATGGTCTCTTCCTTGTGCATTTCTTTTTGCATTCGTGCTTTGACAATCCTTCTCCTCAATTATTGAAAATTTTCTGCAGGAAAGTGACTACATCACTAATGTGACTTAGATTTCTTTATCATGTTTTGTGTTGCTGCATTCTTTATAAAAGAATCTAAATGTGTTAAGATAGTCAGTGGCTGAAAGTGCTCGAAAAAGATTGTGTGGCCATCTTTTACATTTAGAGGGAACAAGGTACCGGATATTTTTCTTTTCTGAACACGTCTTAGGAAGCATATTACTCTAAATTCCATGGTCCAGGATCACTTTGTGCAAAACTGTTCGCAGTATGATTGGGTAGAAATGACAGTAAAATAGCTTGCTACTATCCTGGATTTGATGTGTACTTTGTTGTGACAGCCAGGCACCTACAACTGTTTTGCCCAACTTGAGCTTTGGTAGTTTGGAAAATGAGCATTTCTTCCTTCAAGAGTCCTTATTTTATACAAAAATAGTATTAGTATAAAATGGTAGGGTTAAGGTATTTAGTCTGTGAACAAATAAGATGCAAGAATTGTATGCTGTCTTCATACTGTACTGTGGGGCTTGTTAAAGGGCTCAGTAGTGTTTCACATTTGTAATAAAAATTTATATGTACAAAGCATTAAATTTAGAATACAACTGCTGTATTGGCAAATAGAGATAATTTTATTTATTCATTAAAATAATAAAGGTTTAGGCAATATATATCTGCTTTATGTACTAATAGGTATGCTAGTGAGAGGAGGACAGTACCCTTCATGATCACATTGCAACTTTAAGAATGAGATACAGTACTTCTGAGTATCTACAGTATACCTAATATGTTCCTTATTTTATATATTAAATTACATAGAAATTATAAAAATTCTATTGTACTAAAAAAAATTATTTACAGTACAATATACATAATGGAATTTGGTTATTAATTAATACACTGTACAAAACCTCATGTGAAAACTAGTACAGCCTCTCCTCACATAGCGATGTACTCGTTTACCAATGCCTCGGACTTACGACGGGCTCTGACCAGTATGCATACCTGAATAACGTATATTAGAGCTGATTTCCTCTATTCTGTTTATTTCAGTATACAGTACACCACTGTATAAACATTTAAAAATATACCAGAAATGTTATACAGTGGACCCCCACATAACGATTACCTCCGAATGTGACCAATTATGTAAGTGTATTTATGTAAGTGCGTTTGTACATGTATGTTTGGGGGTCTGAAATGGACTAATCTACTTCACAATATTTCTTATGGGAACAAATTCGGTCAGTACTGGCACCTGAACATACTTCTGGAGTGAAAAAATATCGTTAACTGGGGGTCCACTGTAAATGATGCAAAGGTGACATTAAAACAATATTAAAGATAGTTGACACAAACCCACTACCATTATAGTATGCCGCTCACTTAGTGACGAATTCGTTTAACGACATGGTCTTAGGAACAGAACTCCGTCGTTAAGTGAGGAGAGGCTGTATTTCACAATTGACGAACATTCGTAGTAATAAGAATATTTTATCATAAAACTTTTTTCATCGATGCGTCTGGTTTGTTGAACAATAGATTTAACCGAATCCATTCTCTAGTAATCAGACACATTGTTTTGCATTCTCCCTTGGAGCTTTTTACCAAGTCCAGTGGTGTAACCCATACAGTTTCCGGTAATCACAAGGCATATAATTAACTAAAAAATTGTGATGAGTGCTACGAGTGTGGATGCTTCATAAAATGTGTTACAAATGAAACTACTACTGGAAGATATCAGAAAAGACATTAAGGCACATTATAACTCCCAAAACTCCAGTGCATCCTAGCGTTTGGCACTCACTGGTAAGTTTGAATTTTTGGGAAAGTAATATTCTTTCTTGAAAAAATCCACCCCTTAGGTGAGTGATTTGATGCAGGGAGGGTCTCTTGCTCCAAGAAATTGGCTCTATCTTCCCTTTCCTTGGATTGAGTTTGGTTGCATTGAGTTTGGTTGCTTCCCATTCCACCCCAGGTGCTGTATGACTCCTAAGGGTTTAGCACTTCCCCTGTGAATATACAATAATAATAATCTTGACTCCAGTCTAGCAAGTTATTTCTCTTAAATTTGTTATTGAAGACAAAGGAATTTTCTCTGCTGTGTCCATTATGTTTTGTGCTACTGGAATTTTAGCACACTGGGACAGGACAAACTTAAGGACGAAACAAAATTTTCCATTATTAACAGTGTGATGCACAGAAACAGTAATAACAGAATAACATTTATAAAGTGCTACTGTAGTACCATAGCAGTGAATGAGATAAGGAAAAATATTAATATTCCTACCAGTCATAAGCAGTGAATGTGTACAGCTTTTCAATGATGTATACGTACTGATAGCTGAAACATTTTTAGTTACCCCTGCCATATTCCCAGTCCCATCGTATGTCTAACCACTGCAGTCCTCCATATTCAGTCTTCAGTCCTCAGCTCATGAATGTTCTTGAGTATATCTGACAACTTTTAGCTAATGTTGTTTCCAGTCACATTGATGAATTCCTTGAATACTTCACAAATGTTGTTTTCTTTACAAGAATTTTATTAATACTGTATTGTATATAGATGCTGGCTGCACTTTTAAAATTATGAATTGCCATTTTACTAAATAATTACTAGATGCATTAATGTATATTTATTTAATTTATATTAATATAATAAGTATTTTTAAAAGCAGATAACTGTAAGATGTCATAGTTAAGACTTATTTTTTGAGTAAGTAAATGTACTAAATAATAAAGTTGATGATATCACTCTTCTTCTCAACCGAGTTCAAGAAACTTTGTGACTTATGAGTCATCCAAGCGACTTTTGGGGTCAGTTTTCCTCATCTTCCAAAAGTGTTTTAATTTTGAGTGCACATTGACTATTTCTGTAAGTGGTCTTCCTGCCAAAACTCCAAGTGTCTGTTCCAAACAGCAGAGCAAAGGCAAAATGTGTCTTTACCAGAGGCATAAAATAAATAGATCTATTATATTGTTGACACTAAGACAATTGAAAATTTCTGGTTTTCCCAGCATTTGCATCATCACAAATTTGTACCAGGTAGTTCTCTCCTGGGATGAATTAATTTCTCAGCAGTTTGTATCTGGTCACTATTTAAAATAGATCTGGTCGGTCTTTGGGTGCCTGTGTTCAAATGAAATACCAACAGCTGTCAACTCTATTTTAAATGGAGCCTGGCAATATGCTGGTGGGATGAATGGCTCAAAAGGCTGTGATTGATTTTCATGAATAGCTTATGGCTTGGGTTCATCATGTTGCAATTTCTAAAAACTGAAAGCATAATAACAGCACTATATGATCCTTAAGGGTTTAGCACTTAGTTATGATCATAATAATAATGACAGCAAAATGAAGGCAAAGTTTTAAAAATTACATCCCATTCTTGACAACACTTCTTTAGTTTGAATCAGTTACCAGTATATAAGGTTACAGTGGAACCTCGGTTCTCAAACTTAATACGTACATTCCAGAATGCTGTTCGAGTACCAAACTAATTTTATTGGAGGCAGTGTTTACATCAGGGCAAACACACATTAACCAATTTTCTTTTTGGTTGACTGTTATTATTAATCTTCTTAGGCCCCATGGTGACTTATTTATACAAATAACAAAAAAAAAAAAACGCCCAAAAATGAGAAAGAAACACGAATTAGTTTACAGTGAAGATCAGCGGAGTTTTGGACTGAGCGACAGTTGCAGGGAGACTGACACACGTTCTGGCAGGTTGCGTGTGTTTGGTTGAGTGCCGAGCAAACAGTTGACTACCGAGCTATTTTTTTTTTACCGAACAAAACATTCGAGTATTGAATTGTTCAAGTACCAAGGTTCCACTGTATTGTTTGCTTTGAATCAATTACTGGTTTGTGAGGTTATGCAAGTTACTCATCTAAACAAACAGTCTTGAAAAATTAAAAAAATAATCCTTGGAATTTCAAGTTTGCTGACGACTTTAAAGATTGTGCAGGAGGGACTGCGCACACTAGTTGTGATAGTCTCAACATAAAAATGTATTATCAATTCATGCATAAGCCGTTACTGTGTGAATTGATGACTTGCCTGTTGAAGAGGTCTAAAATTGATGTCTGGCATTTTGTTTTTTGGAATTCAGTACAGTACAGTACAATACATATATGAAATTGTCACTAAGAAGACTGCCACAAACTACACCTGAAGTAGTTCAGTTTTGAGTGTTTCCAATTGATAATTTAACCCAGGGGTACTCCCTGAAAAATACGTACCATCAGGGAGATGTTAGATGTACATAGTGACATCCTACCAGATCTGCTACCTAGTGCATTGCTCACATGAATACATACCATAGTTTCCCAACATATTCACATTAGCTTACTTTCCTCTCTTGGTTTATTGTTGTCAAGCATACAGGACTGGGGAGGCAGATTTCGGGAAAATCGTCTTGGGTTTAGAAACGGTGAAAAAAAAAAAATGCCAACATGAAAGAATAAATTTATCAGTGAAAATTTCTTTGCAATCTACTGAGCAATTTTGTATATCCATGCACATTTAATTTGTTTGATATACAGTATGAAAGGCATTCTAATATACTGCACTGATACATGAAACTTTCAGTGTGGTGAAAAAAAGGTCACTACCCCATTCTCCCACCTCAAGAATTAGTTTGGTCCATTACAAAGTATGAACATTAGCAGCTTCTTGGCTCTTCTTATATATTCCTATGCTCCTCATTCAAGAAATAAATCAGTGTAACAGAGCCTCCCCAGCAGAATCGATTGTGAGTTGAATTGCGTTGATATTTTGTTATTTATTATGAATGCACTGGATTACATTGATATGGCAGTCACATTAAACAACAGGTAATACCTAGTTCAGTGTTAAGTACAACTTATTGGATGGTTAATTTGGTTTTAAGCCTATCAGGTACATGAGGGTCATTAAGTCTGCATGTTCACCATCACCCAAGAACCTTAAATCTATTAATCATGGAACAGGTAGGTTTGAACCCATGGCAAGGGAATCCTAAAACTCCCAGGCTAGTGCATTAACCACTAGGCCAGCCGGCTCTAATAAGATTCATCCCACTAGGTACACATACAGCCTCTCCTCACTTAACAGTGGAGTTCCATTCCTAAGACCACGTCAGTAAACTTATCACTATCAACCATCTTTGATATTGTTTTAATGTTACCTTTGCACCATTAAGAACATTTTTAGTATATTTTTAAATGTTTATACAGTAGTGTACTGTGTATTGTAATAAACAGAAGAGAGGAAATCAGCTCTATATGCATTATTTAGGCATGCATACTGGTCCGAGTTATCATTAAACTAAGTGAGGAGAGCAACTAATGTGACATTTTTATTGTGGCAACGTTTCGCTCTCCAGGAGCTTTGTCAAGCCGTTACCGCTTGACAAAGCGCCTGGAGAGCGAAACGTTGCCACAATAAAAATGTCACATTAGTTGCACTTATGTCCTTTTACTTTACATAAGTGAGGAGAGACTGTATTTATATGCACCATAGGGAAGTTGGCATGGGCCCCACTGTGACCACATGCGGAGTTTTATAGATGAATCCCACACCAGCATGGCTGTGGCAAACTAGTTCAAACCCACCTGTTTCATGATTTGTTAGCAATCATGTTAAT